TTGACAAATAGATACGACATCGATACACCTTGCTGCAAAGTATTCAACGTCTCTACCACATCCGCGGTACAGCAGTAGCCTTCGTTTGTCCCGTCATTTTGTGTTAGTTACAGTCCAGGTGGGATGTACCGGACATGTATGCATCAGAATGCCGCCTGGTGCTTGTAAGCGTCCTCTAGCCATCAGCACCATAGCTGGGCCACAACAGAGTAGGGTGACAAGAGACGGCATTCGATGCAGCGTGTGGGTCTATGGTTGTCGTGATGACACACAAGCTGGGAAGCTCGCCACGCATACCGTGCACGGAATGTGGCTGACGTGACGGTGATTTCGTGTCTCAGGGGACGAGAAAAAGCCCAAAACAATTGTTGGTTGCGACACGTTTTTGGAGCCCCTATAGCTCAGTGGTAGAGCACCCGCTTAGTAAGCGGAAGGTCGGTAGTTCAATCCTGCCTGGGGGCAGTGACCGTGTGCGCATCCATTATAAGGCACAAGTTCTAGCACCTCCTTACTCGAGCAAGCCATAGCTCCGTGGTAGAGCACCCGATCAGTAAGTGGAAGGTCGGTAGTTCATTCCTGCCTGGGGACAGTGGCCATGTGCCGTACCTATCACATGTCACAAGTCCTAGTATCTCCTTGCTCGAGAGAGTGGCTCAACTTGCTCGTATCTTTTCATTGTAGTAGGGGTTACGCCTCCGTTTTATACTACATACTTTGATATGCTCGCCTGCTATATCGGTACCATAGGCGGTGACGATCAGTCTATCTCATAAAGTGTCATATCCTTCACTTCAATCGGGTCATTGGCTAGCACCCCGTTTATAACCAGCGCGGCTGTACGTCACATTGATACCAATGTTGACAAATAGATACGACATCGATACACCTTGCTGCAAAGTATTCAACGTCTCTACCACATCCGCGGTACAGCAGTAGCCTTCGTTTGTCCCGTCATTTTGTGTTAGTTACAGTCCAGGTGGGATGTACCGGACATGTATGCATCAGAATGCCGCCTGGTGCTTGTAAGCGTCCTCTAGCCATCAGCACCATAGCTGGGCCACAACAGAGTAGGGTGACAAGAGACGGCATTCGATGCAGCGTGTGGGTCTATGGTTGTCGTGATGACACACAAGCTGGGAAGCTCGCCACGCATACCGTGCACGGAATGTGGCTGACGTGACGGTGATTTCGTCTCTCAGGGGACGAGAAAAGGGCCCCAAAAATTGTTGGTTGCGACACGTTTTTGGAGCCCCTATAGCTCAGTGGTAGAGCACCCGCTTAGTAAGCGGAAGGTCGGTAGTTCAATCCTGCCTGGGGGCAGTGACCGTGTGCGCATCCATTATAAGGCACAAGTTCTAGCACCTCCTTACTCGAGCAAGCCATAGCTCCGTGGTAGAGCACCCGATCAGTAAGTGGAAGGTCGGTAGTTCATTCCTGCCTGGGGACAGTGGCCATGTGCCGTACCTATCACATGTCACAAGTCCTAGTATCTCCTTGCTCGAGAGAGTGGCTCAACTTGCTCGTATCTTTTCATTGTAGTAGGGGTTACGCCTCCGTTTTATACTACATACTTTGATATGCTCGCCTGCTATATCGGTACCATAGGCGGTGACGATCAGTCTATCTCATAAAGTGTCATATCCTTCACTTCAATCGAGTCATTGGCTAGCACCCCGTTTATAACCAGCGCGGCTGCACGTCACAATGATACCAATCACCGTTTTGTTGGCACTTTAAATAGATACGACATCGATACACCTTGCTGCAAAGTATTCAACGTCTCTACCACATCCGCGGTACAGCAGTAGCCTTCGTTTGTCCCGTCATTTTGTGTTAGTTACAGTCCAGGTGGGATGTACCGGACATGTATGCATCAGAATGCCGCCTGGTGCTTGTAAGCGTCCTCTAGCCATCAGCACCATAGCTGGGCCACAACAGAGTAGGGTGACAAGAGACGGCATTCGATGCAGCGTGTGGGTCTATGGTTGTCGTGATGACACACAAGCTGGGAAGCTCGCCACGCATACCGTGCACGGAATGTGGCTGACGTGACGGTGATTTCGTGTCTCAGGGGACGAGAAAAAGCCCAAAACAATTGTTGGTTGCGACACGTTTTTGGAGCCCCTATAGCTCAGTGGTAGAGCACCCGCTTAGTAAGCGGAAGGTCGGTAGTTCAATCCTGCCTGGGGGCAGTGACCGTGTGCGCATCCATTATGAGGCACAAGTTCTAGCACCTCCTTACTCGAGCAAGCCATAGCTCCGTGGTAGAGCACCCGATCAGTAAGTGGAAGGTCGGTAGTTCATTCCTGCCTGGGGACAGTGGCCATGTGCCGTACCTATCACATGTCACAAGTCCTAGTATCTCCTTGCTCGAGAGAGTGGCTCAACTTGCTCGTATCTTTTCATCGTAGTAGGGGTTACGCCTCCGTTTTATACTACATACTTTGATATGCTCGCCTGCTATATCGGTACCATAGGCGGTGACGATCAGTCTATCTCATAAAGTGTCATATCCTTCACTTCAATCGAGTCATTGGCTAGCACCCCGTTTATAACCAGCGCGGCTGCACGTCACAATGATACCAATCACCGTTTTGTTGGCAAATAGATACGACATCGATACACCTTGCTGCAAAGTATTCAACGTCTCTACCACATCCGCGGTACAGCAGTAGCCTTCGTTTGTCCTGTCATTTTGTGTTAGTTACAGTCCAGGTGGGATGTACCGGACATGTATGCATCAGAATGCCGCCTGGTGCTTGTAAGCGTCCTCTAGCCATCAGCACCATAGCTGGGCCACAACAGAGTAGGGTGACAAGAGACGGCATTCGATGCAGCGTGTGGGTCTATGGTTGTCGTGATGACACACAAGCTGGGAAGCTCGCCACGCATACCGTGCACGGAATGTGGCTGACGTGACGGTGATTTCGTGTCTCAGGGGACGAGAAAAAGCCCAAAAAATTGTTGGTTGCGACACGTTTTTGGAGCCCCTATAGCTCAGTGGTAGAGCACCCGCTTAGTAAGCGGAAGGTCGGTAGTTCAATCCTGCCTGGGGGCAGTGACCGTGTGCGCATCCATTATGAGGCACAAGTTCTAGCACCTCCTTACTCGAGCAAGCCATAGCTCCGTGGTAGAGCACCCGATCAGTAAGTGGAAGGTCGGTAGTTCAATCCTGCCTGGGGACAGTGGCCATGTGCCGTACCTATCACATGTCACAAGTCCTAGTATCTCCTTGCTCGAGAGAGTGGCTCAACTTGCTCGTATCTTTTCATCGTAGTAGGGGTTATGCCTCCGTTTTATACTACATACTTTGATAGGCTCGCCTGCTATATCCGTACCATAGGCGGTGACGATCAGTCTATCTCATAAAGTGTCATATCCTTTACTTCAATCGGGTCATTGGCTAGCTCCCCGTTTATAACCAGCGCGGCTGTACGTCACAATGATACTAATCCCTTTTTGTTGGCACTTTAAAAAGATACGACATCGATACACCTTGCTGCAAAGTATTCAACGTCTCTACCACATCCGCGGTACAGCAGTAGCCTTCGTTTGTCCCGTCATTTTGTGTTAGTTACAGTCCAGGTGGGATGTACCGGACATGTATGCATCAGAATGCCGCCTGGTGCTTGTAAGCGTCCTCTATCCATCAGCACCATAGCTGGGCCACAACAGAGTAGGGTGACAAGAGACGGCATTCGATGCAGCGTGTGGGTCTATGGTTATCGTGATGACACACAAGCTGGGAAGCTCGCCACGCATACCGTGCACGGAATGTGGCTGACGAGACGGTGATTTCGTGTCTCAGGGGACGAGAAAAGGCCCAAAAAAATTGTTGGTTGCGACATGTTTTTGGAGCCCCTATAGCTCAGTGGTAGAGCACCTGCTTAGTAAGCGGAAGGTCGGTAGTTCAATCCTGCCTGGGGGCAGTGACCGTGTGCGCATCCATTATGAGGCACAAGTTCTAGCACCTCCTTACTCGAGCAAGCCATAGCTCCGTGGTAGAGCACCCGATCAGTAAGTGGAAGGTCGGTAGTTCAATCCTGCCTGGGGACAGTGGCCATGTGCCGTACCTATCACATGTCACAAGTCCTAGTATCTCCTTGCTCGAGAGAGTGGCTCAACTTGCTCGTATCTTTTCATCGTAGTAGGGGTTATGCCTCCGTTTTATACTACATACTTTGATAGGCTCGCCTGCTATATCCGAACCATAGGCGGTGACGATCAGTCTATCTCATAAAGTGTCATATCCTTTACTTCAATCGGGTCATTGGCTAGCTCCCCGTTTATAACCAGCGCGGCTGCACGTCACAATGATACTAATCCCTTTTTGTTGGCACTTCAAAAAGATACGACATCGATACACCTTGCTGCAAAGTATTCAACGTCTCTACCACATCCGCGGTACAGCAGTAGCCTTCGTTTGTCCCGTCATTTTGTGTTAGTTACAGTCCAGGTGGGATGTACCGGACATGTATGCATCAGAATGCCGCCTGGTGCTTGTAAGCGTCCTCTATCCATCAGCACCATAGCTGGGCCACAACAGAGTAGGGTGACAAGAGACGGCATTCGATGCAGCGTGTGGGTCTATGGTTATCGTGATGACACACAAGCTGGGAAGCTCGCCACGCATACTGTGCACGGAATGTGGCTGACGTGACGGTGATTTCGTGTCTCAGGGGACGAGAAAAAGGTCCGAAAAAATTGTTGGTTGCGACACATTTTTGGAGCCCCTATAGCTCAGTTGAAAGGTTGTCTATATTACAGTAATTTAGACGATGTGACTTCCCAACTTACCTATCCTGTTCTGTGCTGACGTTTAGAACGTTCTATTGATACGATGGGTGAGGCGCGGACGGCATCGATCGGAGTTTCTGGGATTCATATCTGTCGAAATCGTACCATTACAGGTTGGTAGTGGACGTTGTTGTGCAGAAACAAAAAGTGGGGGACGTCACTGTGTGGCGGCACAGTGCTGGTGAACCCCAAACACCAGGACCCTAAGGCTTAACTTCCGTCCCTGCCGGGGATCGAACCAGTGACCTCTGGGATGGTACCGCCATACCTTCCCGCTCGAGCCACTTGCAACCGTGGAGGTCGGCCGTAAATTCAGTGTCCATATGCGTAAAGAGTCCGGGTAAAGAGTAAGTTTTCATCACGCGCACGATCATGAACAAGGCCGACAACTGGTCTCGCTCGTAAATATGTCGTGAAAAAAAACGGATGTGCGCCTCCAAAGTCGTGAAGATGGCTGACAATGCAGGGAGTTCCGGCGTAGGCAACCGTCCATCAAACAAGCATCGATTGCGGTCTTTCCAGATTAAGTGAAGAGCCGCCGTACGAAGAGCATCCCAGATATCGTGAATGGCGCCCACATGAAATTTCCACTTACCGCGCAAGCGCATTTTTTTTCGCCAAAAGAATGTCCAACCATGTCGGCCTCGTACGAAAGAAGGGGGACATCACTTGATTCAAGTGACCCCACAGACGTGACGCAAGAGTGCAGTCGAAAAACAAATGTTGCTCTGTCTCGATCGCATTGCATCCATCGCGCACACAATACTGAATACGCGGGTTCGAAGCGATAAGAAACCAAAATCGAGCGCGCAATGGCCGAAAGGTCACGCGGAACTGTAGGTCTTCAAAGACAGGAAGCAGGATCTTGCGCAAATGCTTACCAAAGACGAAAGGTCACGCGGAACTGTAGGTCTTCAAAGACAGGAAGCAGGATCTTGTGCAAATGCTTACCATGCTTGATGAACGAGGTGATCTGCTCATCGTCGACGTGTCGCGAGTGCGTAGTCATGGGATGCGGTTTAGCTGGCATCACAGGCTGCCAAACCACACCGAGAAGCGCGGTCCGCGGAATTGCAGGGACCAGAAATGTCTTTGTACCAATCGTGCAGCCCAAGTAGGGAGCCACTTGAGTTAAAGGAGGCGAAGCGGGCCATACGATCGAACGTGCATTCAGACGTTCAACAATCTGTGTCGTCTCCTTGTAAAGCACGCGCAACCACTTAATTTGGAGACCAGGGGCTGTGGACAGTAGCGTGAAGTCCATAAGACGCGAAACAAAGTCTGTCTGAGACGGCCAGGAAGATCCACTTCGCACAAAGTCGGAGAGCGATCGGATGCGGAAGACTCTGGCGATATGTAGGCGAAAGCTCCGCTGGGGTTCCGGGACCATCCCAATGCAGCGGCGATGCGCTTGTCTGGTACAACTCCGTGTTGCCCGTTCAAAGTGCAGATCTGGGTCCGAATGATACCAGATCGGCTGGTGAAGGTTATATAAAACGCGATCGCCGGAAGGTAAATCGCGTTGCGTGATGTCCCAGCGGATCTTGTACCACCAAGTCCACGTCACACGCCACCAATGTGAAGTCAGTCGCCAGTTGATCATCTCACCGTGACGTAGTGGGGAGATGGTGAGGAAGTCGAGTGCGTGGCGGTTGCCAGTGCGAGGAAGAATCAACATGAGGACCTCAGAGCCTGAAGTGGTCCAATTACGCTCACCTTTGGCAGTAGCGGCAGTGATGAACTGCAGCAATAATTGGAGATGCTGACGTTTGAGCAGCGCCTCGAGGTTTGGGATGGCTAGACCCCCGTCGCTTCGTCGCATGTATAAGAATTCCTGTGAAATGAGCCGCACGGATGAAGCGTGACGGTCATGTTTACGACTCAGTACAAACTTGTTCAACATTGACTGCCACCTCTTTACCACTGCTGCGGAAATCGACGCATGTTGTGTATAGTGCCATAATCGAGAGAGGACCATAGTTTGAGCTATCAAAAGCCTGCCACGAAGCGTTCTTGCACGCCGGTACCAAGCCTTAAATCCATCGTAAAAGCGCTGATCAAGGAACTCCACAGTTTCATCATTAACACACGACTGGCTGACCAAGATTCCGAGATACTTCACCGACTCCATGCGACCGAGCACTTTCACTCCTGGAAGGATCGGACAGTCGTGATTCCTATTAAGCGCCAACAAGACAGACTTCGATAAATTAAGCTTTGCACCAGATCCACGGCAGTACTCATCCACAAGCTCAAGCTGCGCTTGTATGTTCGTGATTGAGCTTCCCAGAAGTGTCGAGTCATCCGCAAAGAACGTGCTGGTGCAGGTGTGATCCGCGCTCACACACACGCCATATTCTTCATGAGACCGGAGAAGGTTTCCTAGTGGCTCAATCGTCAGTACAAAGAGCAGCGCCGACAGTGGGTCCCCCTGCTTGACGCCCCTCGTCGGAAAAAGCGCTGGCTGGATGTTCTGGTTGATCACTAGGTGAGCTTGCGGTTTATGATACAGTAGGTGAATCCACTGGAGAAACTCCGCGCCGAGTCCCATGCGCTCGAGCAGTCGAAACATGTACGTCCAGTTTACGCGATCAAATGCTTTTTCAAAATCCAAAAATAAAGCGTACGCGTCGTCATCCATTGCCGTCACGAGATTTTGTAGATCCGCAAGAAACCGAACATGATGGTGTATCGAACGGCCCTTGACAAATCCCTTTTGATCAGGATGAATCAGGTCCATAATGACGTGCTGCAGCCGGTACGTTAGAGCTTTGGAAAGCACCTTCACGTCAACCTGCACGAGTGAGATGGGTCGGTAGTTTCCAGGGGAAGCACGGGATCCGTTCTTGTGTAGTAGGACTACCGCTGATTTGCGCTGCGATGGAAGCAGTGTACCATGTAGTAGGCGATTGTTAAACACAAGGCTCAAGCACGCGCCGAACACATCCGGAGCCACCTGGTAAAATCCAGCCGTCAGCCCATCCATACCCGGCGCTGACGTGGACTTCATGTGGCGAATCGCTGCCGCCAGGTCCGTAGGTGTGACCGGAGCATTGAGAATGGCATGATCAACATCGGAAACAACGCGGGTGATCGAGTTGAGCAGCTTTTGCTGCATCACGTCGTCAGGAGGAGGGGCTGTACCGGTCGGGCTGCATGGGTCTCCCATCATTGATCCCCAGTGCTCGAGAAAACGGAGAGAGATCTCGAGCGGGTTCTTGGAGACACCTCCGCCTGGTGTGTCCACTTCTTCGATGGAGACGCGCCGCAAGGTCGTGTCGACCGGACGAAAGAAATGGCGAGTAGACTTCTCAGAGTTGGCCACTTGGAAGTCAAACGACTTGTCTTGACTGTGCCGGCTCTCCCAAGTTACGATATCCTTGTAATTTCGGAGTGCCTCATTAAAGATTTCGCGGTCGGAGACGGCTGCAGACACACGGTATACGGACGCGGCCCGGTCAAGCTGACTTCGAGCTTCCAGTACTGCTTGCGAGTTCTGCTGCCGGAGCCTCGCTTGAACATCTTGTAGTTGACGCTTGATGCGGACCTTCCATTTCTCCCAGACCTTGCCCGGGTTAGTAGCGATACGCAATTGCTCAAGGACCATGTCAGCCTCGCGCTCGATGGCCTGTACAACAACTGGATACTCCAGTAAATAACGCGGGAACTTCCAGTAACCTTGGCCGTGTAGCTGCTCCCCTGAATGCAAGAGCAAACTGTGGGCGAGATGATCACCCGCATGCTGGGGTAGGAAGTACTTGGAGTCACCGTAGAAGCGCGTGCAGAAGTCGTCCGATAGTAAAATGTAGTCCAATCGATTTCTCCGGGGTAGGGGACCAGTGAAGACGCGCTTGGTGTCATGATGTATCCGCCAGGCGTCAACAGCCCCGAGCTGTCACAGCCACTCGAGACAGCTTAACCGTCCAGGGTCATGACGTCGGTCGGATGAACAAGAGTCGAGACGAGGATCGAGCGGCGTGTTGAGGTCTCCCAGCACCAAGTGCGTCGCGTGGTCCTCAAACTCCGCCGTGTCCAATTGTGAGAAGAATTGATGCTTCTCGCGGCGATCAACAGGGGCGTACACATTGTGGATGTAAACAGGAGAGTCCTCGACCATTAACTTCACGACGAGATAGCGACCCGGGACCGCGACAGAGGGAACTATCATGGCTGTATCAAAGCCAGGGAAGTCGGAGCGGATCATTGTGAGCATTCCATTGCACCGACCACGCGTGGGTCGATGCAACAGAGAGTTAGGATCATCCACAAATACCTTGTTCGTAAAGCTTGAATCCATGTGGAATGTGAAATTGGAAAGATGCGAGCTACAACCGAACTTGGTTTCTTGGACGCATGCCAATGAGTACTTGGAGAGCATTTTCTCGATAAAGAGGTGACCGTTATTCTTGATGCCGTTTGTGTTCACGGTGAGAACACTCACGTTGCTCCATAGAGCGGTGGAAATCTCGGAAACTTTAGCAGCGAGTGGCGAGGTTGCTCGCGACCATCACCACGTCACCATCCACAACCCGGAGTTGGAGAACCGAAGAATCATCCGGGTAGAATCCATCCAGCGTCCGGAGCGACTCGAGGTCATCCAATAGGTGACCTTGCCACTGCACTTCTCGCCACTGCTGCATACAGAGGGACCCGAGGTCTGAACGGAGAAGCCGGAGGAGAGTATTCGGATGTAGGAGCCTTGTGTGGTGAGCCGGAATCCACCTGACCGGCTGGCCCGTGATGTACTGGATCCAGTGGTCGTTCGTGAATATTGTCGGCGCAATGGACATGAGAGTAAGCTCAAAAATTCCCAAGGCTTCACGAGACAGTTCAGTGATCGAGGCGGACGATGTCCACCATTTCGCGCACATTTTAAAGATATCACCACGTTTCGACGGGACACTCGATCCCATAAGCTTTTTCCGCTTCGCGCTGAATGTCGTATCATCTCCGGGGCACGTAGCACTGAAGACGCGGTTAATTACGTGCATCTGAGCCAGCTCGGCGATCTCGTGACCATCACCGGCCATCTTGAGAGCCATAGTGCTATTGAAGGCAAGCGGACACTCGATGGCTTTCTTCGTGATATGGTCAGGGTTCGTTGCATTTTCAAAGAGCTTGCACACACCATCCACCTTCGTGTCCGCCTCCGCGAGACGATCCGGAAGGACGCTAAGAAGCGCCGTATTCTCATCATCGAGCATTGCTTCCGTTACTTCCATGATAGGGGTCGCCTTGGAGGCCTTCTTGATCTTCGTATGGTGCTTCTCGACGAAGAAGGCTGATTCAGTCGAGGTCTTCATCGAGTCTGGACGCTTCACATCAACCGGAGCCACATGGTACCGGACCCCGTACGTCTTGTCCGCCGTCACATTCTTCGACTCAAACGTGACCGACATCGACTGGAGAGCCTGGAAATAGTTGGCCGTCGCAATACCGTCGAGAGGGGTCGGCTGTTGCTTGACCATGAGGTTGGAGAAGTCAGTGGCCTTGCGCGATCTCTTCTTCTTGTTTGACGCGGTCACAAAATTGTCCTCTGGTCCGTTGGTCAGCAAAAGAAGCTTCTTTGGCGCCTTCGGACTACTGGGAGGGGAAATCTTGCCGTTGG